GTACCAAATCCTTCTGCAGCTTTTCCATAGCTACTAAAATAAATAACTGTTCAAGGTGTTACTAGCCAGAGGTAGCTTTAGGTCAGCCATTGTTCTTAAGCGATAGCTTTTTGATGGCACATCCCATTTAGACCCTAGTCAGTGTCCAACACATTTTAACTTGTGAAGTTCTCAGGAAAAAATTGCAGAATAGACCTGTCTGTGTGTATGGGCAAGTATGATGCAATGGAGTTTTTAAAGAACATACAAACATACAAAATGAGCACAATATAGGTTATTCATTCTCACAATAATACTTAAAAGAGGGGAGTTGTTATTAGCTACAGGGAAGGAAAAAAAAAAACCCAAAAAAAAAACCCTTTAACTTGTAGAGGACCTGCTAATTTTTGTGGCATTGACAGAAAGCCATCTCTTAGAGCTGGGAGTAGCCTGCAAGACATGCACTAATTGCTGCCATGTAAATGAGCCTTTGAATTACAACTCTGTAACATACTTAAACACTAATAAAAACGAAGGAAGCAGCCGTTTCTCCCCTACTTTCCAATTCAGAACAATTAAATGTTCTTACCTTGTTAATATTGACAACAGTCTATACATTTCTTTCTTTGTATGATATTGTTGATTTTTGTTATCACTGCATGGTACTTTTAAAACAAAAAAGACTTTAGCAAGGTTCATAAAGTTTATTTAGGATTATAGCTCAATATTCTCAAGATAAAAGATATCCCTGATATCCTATATAAGTCTTGTAACTTATGCAGCTGGGAGAGCTGCAGTTTAGGAAAAAAAAACTGAACAATTTTTCCAGTCCCTGAAAATTTATATTCCGTGCATTTCTATTCTATCAAATATTCAATTTGTTTCCATTCTATGAAAATATTCAAGGAAACTCTCCAGATGTGTACTTCCTATCTCTTTCTGCCATATCATTTTGTGGTTGAGGCCCTAGGGCAACTTTTCGTACTTTCTCAAATGTCATACTTTCAATGACATATCATAAACGTTTAAGTGTGTTCAGAACTTGAAGACCAGACAGTGAATGAGCCAGCTTTAAATATGTTAGCAATTTGAACTCACTGCAAGGAATTAAGAACCTAATTTTGAGCTACTGATGCTCACATCCTAAGTGGCATTTACTTCCTATTTACTGCTTACTTCCTGCTTCTAATGAAATCAACGGCGTCTAAGAATGTAAAGCACCTCACAAGAACAAGTTCTTATTTACTTACCACCTACTAAGCTGCTGGAGTGGGTCATAATTATTAAATTAAATCCCTTGTTTGTAATTTCTATTAATTTTAGGACTATCAAGCAAAGATCCAATTTGAATTATCTACTCATGTTTCCTTATGCTGCCACGTGGTTTAAATTACAGCTCAGCATGCAACTGCCTAAGTGTAAAGGGATTTTTTTAGTCAGCATCATGATGTATTGATTTGTGATTTGCTGTATAAATAATAATTGTTAAATTTTTGGTAATTGACTTAATGTAATACTAGACAAAATAATTCTCTTTTTAATTAATATATACATAGATGAAAAGGGGCTGAAATATCTAATGTTTCAACATTATTGAAAATTGTAACTAGAAAAATAATTAAACAACTTCATTACAGAAAATTTGATCTAGAATTAACTTGCCGTGTGTGAAACAATGCACAATGAACAGAATTCATATTCTGCATGCAATATTAGGCAGGAATTGTCATCAAGCATCGATTTTCCTCCTGCAAGCCACGTTCACTCCTCTTTATACTGGTGCAAGTCTGAGTCAATCCTCTGAAGCAAACAGATTACACGGATTTAAACTTGTGTTGCTGGAAGAAGAATTTTGATATGTTTGCTTTTGTTGGTCTCCAATGAAAAATTGTATTTTCAAAAGTTGAACTAATGCTTAATATCATTTATTCCGTTGAAGAAGTCTTCCTATTATGAAATAAATATTTTTTTCTGATATCAATAATCTATTTTTCTCCAATTTTTAGTAAAAGTAACAAAGATCACTATAGATTTTTTTTTCAGAAGTTCAAAATCTGCTTTTCACCGAATCATAGAATCATAGGGATTGGAAGGGATCTCTGGCTATCAAATCTTTCTGTTTTGTTTCTTCCCATATAGAAAGCCTAAATGTAGTGTTTTGTTAAGTGTACTCAAACATTTAGGAAATAAAAAAAAATCCAATGTTATGTTTCAAAATGATACATTCAGCCATTGGCTTTGGTGCAATATAAATATCAAGACCAATAAAATTGTAAATGACATAAGGAAAAAGATGTACATGCACACACCATACATACACCCGTACAAAAGTAAGAAAATGACATGCTTTTGCCATTTTAATCTTCATGTAAGAAACTTCTGTAGCTGAGTGCATATTTCATGGCAAAACAGTAAAGATAGATATGCTACTTTTATTTCTTTTTTATTTTCTTTGTGTTGCATTCTCGAACGTGTGTTTTGCGCTTTGAAGAGCTATCGAGCATATCTGCATTAGTTTTGGAATAGTTACGTGAAAGATTACATCTGTCTTTGACACCGATTGCCTCTATTTTTATATTGTTTACTTTTCTTTCCATACTTTACAGTATTACAAATAGATATAATAACCCAACAAGTGTTACTGTTATACTCCTGTAACTCTTACTCCCTGACCTAAAATCTTTCTCCTACTGTGTAAGTAAAGATTAATTTGTAATTTTATATGCTTACTTATATCCCACAGCGATCAAAGTAGACTATATGTTAGGTCTTGAACAAAATTTGAGCCTAAATTGTAAAAATTAAACATACTTTTCCATATGCTGCTTCCTCCAGTGAATGTTCTAGTATTTAACAGAAAAAGTTGGTTTACTTTAGTGCTTAGTTGAGCATGTATGAAAGAAAAGCAAGTTTAGCGCCATTAATTGTAAGGAGTGGCTTTTATTACCAGTGATAATATGAAATCCTAATATAATATTTAGCACTGTGTATTGTGCATGCACTACAGAATTATTCTTCAGTGAAAGCTTTGGCATTTCAAATGTACAAATTTTAAAAATTCCATGATGTAATTAAGCAAAAAAAGTAATTCTTGGTACGACATACACCTGGATGACATTGTAAGGTTATAATGAATACTGGTAGCAATATGAAGTATTACTCACTGAAGTATCACCCCCAGATAGAAACTGAAGAGAGCTGCAGAAGCTCTCTAAAGGGACATTGCAGGGTGAGATGCATTTCTCTAAGTTTAACCACCTAAAAATTAAGGGTTTATCCTAAGATAGATAGTATTATAAGCTCTTTATATTGCCAATAGAGAAACACAAGCTATTGTATCCTACTTTTCCTTACAGTACCTTTCAGTGTATTCCTCTTTTCTTTTAATATTGTGATAGTTTTACATAAAATAATAATTTAGGGAAACATGTCAGGAGATTTTGGTTATATTCTAAAGCTGTTTTGTATTTAAGGAGTTCTGTGAAAGCAAGAGGAATTTCGGGCAGCCTGGTCTAGTGTTTGGCGACCCTGCACATAGCAGGAGTTTGAAACTAGGTGATCATTATGGTCCCTTTCAATCCAGGCCTTTCTACGATTCTATGATACAAAAGATCATGGACTTAAAAGTGAAACATGGCCTCAGAATTGAAGTCATCTACTGATGCAAAGATATTTATATTGTATGCCCTAAGTCATCATCCTTTTCATGTCGTGTAGTAGATATTAGTTGTGTACTGTTGTATGAAACTTCTGTACATTTAACACAGTGTAGAAAAAAAGAGACTAAAATTGATTTTGATAGTATTAAATCATGTGTATAATCATTTTTGTTCCAGAATTCAATACATAAAAGTCATATCAGAGACTCAAAATACAGAATTTCATACATAATTTTAATCCCTCACACTGTGCTGTAGGTTACAGGTCTGGAAATATGTAGTTTTCTAAGAGTGGGTTCATTTTTCATTGCTTTTAAATCCAGGACTGTTAATAGTAATCATTTTGCTGAGTTATTTTGGAATATCCTGCATGAGGACTAACTGAATTACAAATTGTGTTTACAAAACGATGGAGGGAGCTCAGGGTTTAATGACAGGTGAAAAGCATGTAATGCATACTGGCTTTCCATCTGTGACCGCATACCTAGACAGTGCCAAACTGAAAACTGGACAGCATGCCATAGATGAGAAAACAAAGTGTGACATGAGTTTATTTTTACCCAGAGAACTGTTACATGCCACAAAACACTTGAATTCCTACTATAAAATAGCTGTTTTATACAAGCATATGTATGTCGTATACATATATACAAACATATATATTGTTTGTTTGGAAATATTGTATCTTAATTACAGAGACAATCTTGTGTAACTGTAACATCTGTACAACTTAGGTATGTAGTACTGTGCATGTTTTTCAGATGCCAAATGACAAAAATGTTTGCAAAGCCTGCTGACTTTCTAATGCACTGAAATCCCTCAATACATTGCATGGAGATTACAAGAAAGACACATATTGAGATCTGTGTGTGTATTTATTTTTAAAGCTATCCATCTCTCAATAACAAAAAATAAGACTGTGCTATTGAAGAGCCTGAAATGCTTTATGCTTTGCTGCTGCAAATTTAGTCAGCAAAGGCAGCTCAACTCATCTAAAACTCATTTCTGAGTTGTGCTGACATGAATGAAACCAACAATGATACTTGTGTAAAAATAATAACAAAAAAAAGGTTTTTATTTTAAGCTTAATTTAAAATAAATATTTGTTGAATATAAACAGTTTGTGGTTAGAGCAATTAAAAATGTCATCAAAATTTAAAATAAAAATACTTCATGTATCTGTGGATCACAGGCAGACTAAATTTGTTACAATAAGTGATAAAAATATATATATATAATTTATTTCAGCAAGGCATAAAATGTGTTCTAAAGATGATATACTGCATGTGCCCTCACTTTTGGCCCAGTTTGTTGCAATGTGGTTGTGACATTTTATTTTTTTAATTCAAATTTCAGATCCCGTGTCTGTCCAGTGGTTTGTTACATCTACAACAACTGTAGAACAACTAAGGGACTTTCTAGAGATCCGTTCTGTATACATCTGGCAAATGCTTGCAATTGATGCTGACAAGGTAGTTTGCCGTCTTGGGATCACTTTTAAGGAAGGAAGAACTCAGAGGTTAGTAGTTTGATTGTCCTATGAAGGCTGAAATAAAGAGGAAAAAAAGGGCATAAGAGTCATTGTTGTCTATATGCTTTGTACCCAACACTTAAGATGGAGGCTGCTGGAAATCTTGTCTGTGAAGGTCTTGATCATACCACTTTTTCAGGAATAACTGGGAGCAAATGAAAAGGGAATTCTGAGGATGAAAAGGAAAGAGAAATGAAATTCAAGACAGATAAACCCGTAGAGGAGAATGGAAAGGAGAGAGGTTGGAAAAGTTCATTGGTGAAGTAAGTGCCTAAATATGAGTACAATGGAAATATATATATGAGTATAAAGAGAATGTAATTGGATACAAGAATAAATTCAGAATTCCAGTTTAATGAGGTCACCTAGAACCTTTCTTATTGTAAAATATATCTATCAGCTTTCAGAGGAAGAAAAGAAGTAATTGTGCATAGATCATTTTGCCATTTTCACACAATTTATGAAGCCTACCCTTTTCCTAACTTTAATGATGTAGAATGTATGTTGGAGCTTCTCCTGAACACAATCTGCCTAACATGAATCAAAACCATGCCCTTCTGGTTTTGCAGTAGGGGCTATGTGATTACTTGAGGAAGTGTATCTCCCCATTTTCCTTTTAGTTTCTGCAGCCATTGAGGAAATACAGTTGCATTCTCATTTTGTTTTTCTTCATATATCAGGAGCAAAGAATACCATGCATTCACTATGTGAAGAACTGTCACCTAGCACTATGTCAAAGACACTTACCCTCTGATAATTCAAATTAAGCCATCAGATAAAGGAATGTCATCCTAAAAGAAAAATTCCCACTTAGCTTATCTAATTGGGTATGCAAACTCCATTTTATCAGTAATGAGAATTGTCACCTAATGGTGCTCAGACTTCTTGCCCTAAGGATTAAACAGCAATCAGAGTTGTTGTTCATGCTGTTTGGACGTGTGAGTTGTCATGCAAATCGTCATGCGGATACAGTCTGAGGATGAAACAACCTCAGTGATGACATGAAACTTGAAAATCTCATTTAAAACTTTTGCTGTTGCTTTACTCAGCTTCATTGCCTAAACAACAGTATGCATGTTTAAAGAGTTGATTCAAAAGTAATGCTTCCTATTGAAGAGTAGCATATTGGCAACTGGTGGTAACTATGTTAAAAATATTCTTTGCAGCTAAGAATTTGCTTTATCAAGTGGTGTTATTGTGCTCTTTCTTCTAGTTTTCATGAAAATAAATAGGAAGCAATACTTTTGAAGTGATCTACATACTACTACAAATATTGGACCTTGTCTTGGTTTTGTACTGTTGTGATAGGGAGTTTTTTTGTCTGTATTAAAGACTTAAACCTGTTTTGTCTTCACTGTAGCTTTTAGTAAATATGTATCTTAAAAAAAATAATTCTAAATTTATTTTTTAGAATTGATCTGTTATTGCTGATCTTTAATGGAATTTTTACTATCGCTTTTGTTGGTGTATTTTTATATATGTAATGTTCCTATACATGCAAATATATAATATCACAGAATCACAGAATTGTAGGGCCTGTTTATCAGTGACTTAAAGATACTTTTACATTTGTATATATGTAAGAGTCAGAAAACCTGCAGTTCAGAAAGCCCCAAATTTTATGTTTCTTCCCATTCTTTTATGGATTTTCAGCCCTTAAAAATCTGAACTAAAGTTTCAGCTGTTGATGCTCAAAAAAGATCGTATTTACAAGCTCTCTATTTTCAGATGAGTACAGCTAAGCAGATAATGAAGGGTGAAATCTGCAAACATTTATTAAAGTGAAACATTGCATTTTGCATGGCAATACTCTAACTCATTTTGTGCTCACTTTGCAAGAATATTATAGGAAATTAACTTACTGAGTGGCTGCTTAAAATGTGTTTTTACTGAATAGTGGATTATACCAGTGAAAGTCATAGTTGAAGTTTTAATATGCAATTATTGAAAATGAACAATAAGTTATTAGTTTTAATTTCTTTTCTGCCCTGCAGAGAATGAAAAGTTTGGCTGCTTGTTGTATGCTAGCTGCAATACTTTACCTCTAATCTCCTGTTCTTTTCCCCTTATAGTCATGTATCATCAGCATCATCAGATACACAATGTGTATCAAATACACAATCTGCAAACATGTTATGTAATCATAACTTAATGAACAGTCAAAATGGCCTTGCAATATGGCCAAACATTGGCAGAAATATCTGTAGAATGGCAAATTTACAAAGTAACACTGTCTGTGTAAGACTTGTATTCAAGAGAAGACCTGTTTCAGTTTGTTACTGTAAATAAATCATATAATATCTAAACTGAATTAATCTTCACTGTCTCTAGTTATTCTATACTTGTAATAAACAGCTCACTACTACCAAGTTTAATTACAAAGTTTGGGAAATGTTAATGAGTAAATAGATAGTATTAATACACTATAATTTTTTTAACTAATCCCAGATTTCTTTTCAGAACTGTATCCTGTGCTACGTTTGAGACTCAAGCAGATGATGGTTACCTTATGAACACCCAAATCAAGGCCCGTAGATCTTATGCTCATACGACTAAGAGCTATTGTTCTTCAGGTGCTTTGTAGCCTGCGTGTCAGCTTCACTGGGTCACAAGTGGCTGCACACCATGCAGCAAACGTGTGTGCAAAGGACTTGAGCAAGAAGGCAGGCTCCATTGGTGCAAAGTATCTAATGGCCTCTTCCTCACCTTGAGCTACTCAGTGCGCCACTGCCTTTCTCATCTCAAAGGAAAATGCTCTTTCACAACTGTTCAGAAAAGGAAGAAAGAAAGCTATAATAAATTATTAACTGTGAATTATTCCCTCAGCTCTATGGCTCAGTCATTGCTGCCCCAGTTTTCTTGCACATGAAGCATAAAATATCAACCCTGTCCTCCAAGCATTTCTTGGTAGAAATTGGCAAAATGGCTAATGTAAGAACCAGGCCTTGCAAGGTAGCATATTTTGGCATATAATATGTAATTTCTCAGTTTTATTTTTACAGCGTCTTGTTTTATTTCTCTTGAACAGAATTGGGAGATTTACACATGACTTTAAGGGGAGTAGAAAAAGGCGTAGAGTTTCTCTGATGTGGGATGATCTGGTTAGATGTATGTACCACCAGTGAAACATTCATACTACCATCATACTTGGTACAGTGGTCTTATAATAAAATTAGCAGTGCAGCAACCTTTTGAGATGCTCATTCAGTGAAGCTTACAGGAGCAGCATGACTTTGCACAGAGCCCAAAAGTCTGAACAGAATCTAAAATCTGTAAGCTTGGTACAACTATATCAACCAATGCATTTTTAGCCTATACTTGAATAAGTTTTTTTATTGAACTAAGATTAGCTTCACAAAGTAACTCAGATGTTTTCAGGATAAATTAAACTCGTACTGTCTTGCCTCATATCACTTGTCCTTACCCATTCACAGTGGAAATTTGTCAGGGCAAAAAGTGCTTTGCTCTTTTATTATGTGTCTGTCCAACAATAGAGTCCGTTATCTCTGTCTTGCAAATACAGAGAATGAAATAAGAAAGGCACATTATCTTTGGAAAATAGGACAGTAAAGGAGTGTCAGAAGTTATATTTGACTCTGTATCTTATGAGTCCCAAAGCAGTTTCACTTTGCTAGACTGTGTGTGTTCCCATTGTCTACTTGTGTATCTATATTTGTACAGATTTATTCCTCTGTCTTTCTTCAGAATAAAATAAATGTTTATTCTAATTGATCATTACCAGATATGAAGTGATTAATAGATTTGGTAACATTCTATTACTGAGAAGAATATTTGCAGTTTGTTTGTAAGCACAGAGAATGAACGAGGTGAGTGAAACACTCTAGAGGAAACGCTGTTCACTTATACAGATATTTAAATGCATACATCTGTTTAGTTCAATGCATTTTGTGTCAAACTTCTTCAGTGTGACACTAATAACAAAAAAGTATTGGCTGGCAATATAACAAAAATGTCAGAGTCAATTAGGGTTGTTAGAAATCCATCCACAGTAGACATTTACTGAAATGTATTAATTTGGAGGAACATTAAGAAACTGCCAAGAAATAAGTCATATATTAAGTCAGCTATGGAGTAAGTTGTTTCGACTGGATGTTTTCCTGTGTAAGATGTAGTATTTGATAGTTGTTAAAAGAAAAAAAAAATTTACTTTGGGAATTTCTTTTGTATTTGTATGAAAATAAAATCTTAGGCTAAAATAACAGCTTCCTAAGATTATCTTTTTTTTCTTCTCTATAATTTTAAATAATAGCATTTTATGACATCTAGTATTACAGTTTAATTTTGGTTTACATTTACAAGGTAGATTTTGAAAGTCTGCATTATATTTAATGTTAATAACAATCGTGGTCCTGGAAAACACACTAGGAAATTATGTATGGGATGATCTACCTGCTAGAGCATCTTACATCCATTGGTTGGTGGAGCCTCAGTGCAGAAACAAATATTACACCATACTGATCACTGATATTAGTCCTGAGTGAAACAGACATCTGTCAGATGGCCTTGGCTCCAAATGCTTCCTGAGCATTTCAGAAGGCGAGAGAAATTGTTCCAAATCTTTGTGCTGCACACTGACGTCCTTCACTCTTATGGCAAAACAGATGGAGGTACCAGCTCCACCATGTACTGAAGAGTGAGCCTGTTCCCTTAGTGTAGTATGTATGAGTCTGATCAGATGCCCTTCTTCCAGAGTCCAAGTGACAGAAAACGAGACAGAAGCAGAAATTTCCCATTGACCGAAGCTCCCTTGATGAACTGGTACAGAGAACAATATTTTTGAGCAAGAAGGTATATAAGCTACTAAAAGTAGTTCATATTCAAGTTTTGCCTACTTACTAACCCTTTATGTCCTTCCTACTGTCTTTCAGAAATGGTTGTCCTACTGTCAGTTTGGAAAGTTTTTTAAACTAAGTGCTCTCTGACACAAGTGGTGCAGGTTTAAGCTTGGCCCTTGGCAAACACTTTACCCAGTTGCTGGGAATAATGCCAAATGCATGTATTTTTAAGATCCTTTTAGCTTTTTGCATATTCATTCTTCTGCTATTATCCTATTTCTTTTCATGTGGATCGAATTTTATTCGATTTTATTATTTTATTAGTTTCTTTTTTTTAGTCATTTCAAGCAAGTCAAAGGCAGAAAAAGAAGAATATTCACTCAAAATTCATTTTAACTCATTTCACAGTTAGGGATTTATTTCAAGGATTTTGGATTTATCCAGCTTGATGCTAAACATTTAAATGTCTCTACCTCTTTCTTCTTTGTAGCATGGAAAATAGAAATCCTCCCCCAAAATAAAAACTCTTAAGTATTCAATTTTCCTGCTATGTTTTCCCAGAGCTATGCTCTGTGACTTGTTGGCCAGCAAAATTCTCTTTGTTCTCTTATTTGTGAGATTAATACCCTTAATAAGTAAAGGACCTACATTAGCTTAGTTGCCTCAATTAGTTCCCAGGTAGTTAGCACTTTCCTAAGATGCTTCTGTATCTTCTCTTCTTATTTGTTAAGAAAAAAAAAAAAGAAAAGAAAAAGAAACACAAAGCATAAAGCAAAGCAAAGATACTACTCATTTTTGAAACTTTTCTTTTTCCCAGTTATACCTTGATAAATTTATCTTAGAGGAATCAAAATGAGATCAGTAATTGAAACATGAATCTACACTTATTCTCTAGGTTGAATATATTTCCATTGAGTTGGTTGAGTAGGTGGCTTCACAGGATATTTTGGTAATGCTATACTGTAGTTGGGTTAAGTCCTTCTACACTGAGGGATATTCTCAGTGGATAGTATTAGAGTGTGTTTTCCTAATAGGGTCAGCAAAAGGAAGTTCAAACATGGTCTGAATAACTGGCCAAGAAAGCATGCTGAAGAATGCTTGACAAACTGGGGAAAATATTATCCCCCCGGGTTGTGAAGCAGATCTGAAGAGACTTACTGCAACTGGAGCAGTCCCTAGGAGATGTAGCTCTGTTATCTGTAGCTCTGTGTCTGGGGAATGTCAGTAATTGTCAGTAGTCTTTCTCCCAAAGAGATCTGAGTGAGAATCAATTTTCCTATTCCCAAAGTACAACTGTGGGCTTTTTTAAAGAAATGAAACAAAATTATGTTTTCACAGCAACTTGCAGGGCAATTTTTTAGAAATTCAGAGGCTTTCCCTTCCTTCCTTGTTCCACTTGTGCTACATATGCATGATCAAGTTATTTGTTTGCATGAGGAAGAGTCTGGCCCTTGGTTCTCCTCTGAACCTGAATGGTCTTGAAAACTTGGGGCTGCTGCAGTAATTAAGTGCAAATTCTAAGTATTCTACTAGGCAAGCTCCTTTTCTGTAACCAGAAGCTTCTAAAGTCAGTCTATAGCCATTCTCTTGATATGACAGTAAACCAAAGAGAGATGCTACAACAAAAAGATTTGTAAGGTGTTGATAGCTCAGTAATTCATTCTGTCTTGTGCAGATCCCACATAAACATTAGACTAATCCAGAATGGACGAGTTTCCCACTTAAGACACTTTTCAGTGCAAAACTACTAAGCTTCACATATATTCTGATGAACATTAATGTATTCTTCTGTTTCAATTATGAGTACAGAGATGCACAAGGAATCTGCATTTTCAGTGCAAGAAAAACATTCTCACTGCTTTGCCCAGATTGCAAAACTGTTCAATTTCCTACAGGTGTGCTTTAGAATTTCCTTTTTTTCCACAACTTCTTTCACAGAGTCATTAGTTTGCATTTGCAAAAATTTAGGATTGGATATAAAGTGACAGAATGCTGCTGAAATTTTGCCAGTGAGGTTGTTCTCGTTTGGAAAAAGGTAGAATGAGACAAAAAAGGAGGAATGTAGAGCAGCTATAGGCTATATAATAAAAAAACAATGGTCATAGACAGCTCATATCGCTGTTTCTTAAGTGTGCTTATGATGTCAGGAGGTTTTGAGATACTAAAATGATGTAATATTTTTGTGCATTTGGGGGGGGGCAAAGAAGTGTGTTCTGATTGTTGATGGGTTTTGTTGTTTTCCTTTATCTGAGCACATCTTAGTTGCTGTTGTCAGGTGGCTAATACTGACATTGATGCTTTCAAAGCAAGTGCACATAATGCACATAAAGCAAGTGAAGTGTTTGACTTCCCAAATTCTTTGAACTTCCACTAACAACTCTTTAAGCTCTTCATACTTTGTCTGGTATTCTGACTGGGATGTGCTCAGTTTCTGAAAGAAAATGCAGATGTTGCATTAATGTCATTTAAATCTGTAGCAGAAGGTCACCTACCAGTTATGAGATGGATGGTGACACCTGAGGGATTGTGGTCTTTTATATATTTATGTAGTAAAAGCCAGTTCAGTATGCCAAGGGACACAGTGACAAGTAGCTGGGAATCTTCTAATATATCTGCCAGTCTACTCTTAGATTTACATCCCAAGCATGTAATCATCCTATATGTTAATGTTACCAGAATGTTTTTAGAGGTGCTGAAAGTCTTCTATTTCAGCAGTGTATTTTCCAGAACCAATCAATTCTTGATAATGGTGAGTAGATCACTGTTTCTCTTATACCAGCAGTAATAATCTCAAGATCCATTCTAGCATTTCTGCAGAGTCTGTCCTGGCAATTATTTAAACTGCATACTGAGCAAATACGTTCTGCATAAGACATTGCCAAAAAAGACCGGTTAGAGCATTCACTATGGATCCTGATGATACATATTTAGTTCTCTTTCACCTTCTTCTCACCTTGAGAACATTTGAATGCATCATTTTCCAAGAGAGTGATTTAACCATGAGAGTCTCTTTGGGTCTGCTTCTCAAATGTCTTAAATGTTTCACTTGTATAACAAATCTTTATCTGAGACAGTAACACTCCTCTCACCTTTCTAAGATCTAAAACCTGAAGTCAGTCTCTTGTCTCACTGTGTTTCAAGAGTTCAGTCAAAGAGAAACATTTTCCACAGGGCTAGGAAGGTATCTATCCATGCGTTTTCCTTTGAGTAGGTGGAGATACCAGCTCAGATCTATCTGACCAAGAAGGAATTTGAATGCACTGCAGGAGAAAAGGAGCTATTAGATTATTCAGTGGTTGGATTAAGGGAGGAGAATGTAATGACACAGCCGACTTCTCAGGATGGCTGCTTTATGTGTGCTTTTAGCATTTTGCCACTGCCAATCTTTGAAACCCAGGTAAAGTGCTCTCATCAGTCGTTATTAATGCATAGGAGTACAGTGATCATCCATGATACACCATGAATGAATGTTCTTAGCTTACTGATGGTTGTTATGTATAAGCACTGTTCCAAAAGCGTTAAGAGATGCATTTGTTGCAAATGCACATGGAGAGTACACACTATCAAATAGCCAGTGATACTATTTATCCCATTCCTTTCCTTGTGAGTTCCTCAGTACCCCTATGTTGCAATCATTGAGCAATTACATGAAGTAATTTTTGGCTTTAAGTTAAATAAAGCTTTCCCAAATAAATCACTATTTTCATGGATTTTTTTAAATATTAAAATGTATTAACACTAAAACAAGATAGATATTATTGTACTTTGGCTTAGATTTGCTAAGGTTTTGATTGTGTCCATACTTCCTAGGATACCTGTTCCTTGCCTAATCAAAAGATCTTTTGAAAACATTATAAAATTGAATCCAGGAACCTCATGATGCATGAGAAAGAGAAAAATCAATAATGTAATGATGAGGCCTATTAAGTATTGATAATATTTCCTTAATGAAAGAAGGGAAGTAAGCACAGCATTTTCTTGGAAACGTGGTTAGGACTGTTGCAAGTGGGAATTCCCCAAGGCCTGCTGGGGTTTCCCTTCCTGAGAATACTTTGATGTCTGATACCAGAATTACTGTTTAATCGTTTGTGCCTCTACTCATGCATAGTTATTTTTCTGTAGATATAAAATAGGAGGCATTTACCACTGCCAGGAAGCATTTGTTGTGTTTTGATGGCACAATGCGTAATGCATTCATGTGGCTTCAGGAAATGTGCAGCTGCATGTCAGCCTTTATCCCATCCCTTTAGGACATGCGGCTTGGGTAGGAGAAGATAAAACAGTGTTGCTTCCTTAGCACTCTTGATAAATTTGTTC